GATGGCAGTCTGAAGGGGATGCAGGCAGGACACTGAGAGTGTCTGCAGTATGTCCTCCTGCTTGAAATAAGTCTGGGCCCTGCCAGTTTTTCTCTTAAAAAAAAAAAAAAGCCATCTTTTTTTCTTTCAGAATTGTCTTGAAATCCTTCCTCCCAGGATTTCTCTGAGTAGCCCTAACCCACTCTCAAGATGTCTGCTAAGAGTGTGTGCCTTGAATGAATGGAAGAAAGCTCCTTCTCTGTGGACAAGTTAGACAAGAGTGCCTCCTCTGAGCAGACATGGCCCTTGGGGGCCAGAGTTTTGGAACGTGGACAACATCTCTGTAAGAAAAAAATGGCACCCCTTCTGAAGTGGCTCCTAGAAGTAAGTGCGCACAGCTTGGGGGGTGAAGTAGGGACTGTGCTGGCTCACATACTCAACCAGGCATCTTTAGGCATGCACAAACTGGACAACAGGACAGTGGCAGTCCTGTTTACTTTGATCACTCCTTTCCTCTAGAGCTATCCAGAACTTACATGCACTACAGATGTCTGATGGAGCTTGATCAGATATTGAGTGTGTGAACTTGGCAACAACTCCTCAAACATCTATTTGCATTAACTGGTGTGTTTTGTGATAAAAGGAGAATGTAGGTGGTCCAGAACTAACTGGGAGAAGACAGGGGAAAACAGGAAACTGAAATTAATATATTGTCTATGTTCCAACTGTCCCTAGATACTTCTCCCTGGGGCCTACAAAATATTCTCCACCTAACTTCCAAGGCAATGGAATGAGATCCCCGTCTAAACTCAATATGCCAAATACTCATTTTATTTCTCTTCAAAATGATGTAAGAGAGATGAGGTGAAAAATTGAGAGGGAAATATTCTGCCCACTGTTCCAAGCATGGGGTAAATGAGTAGCAGTCCTGAATGTGGGTTCCCATGTGCTTTTTTCAAGTTAGTATCTGTTCACTGACTAGGTACAAGGTGAAAAGTTCAATGAATTCCTTTTCTTTTAAACTTTTTAAAAGAAACTTTAAAGTGACAATTTAAACTTTAAAATGACAATTTGCAACATTATAAAAATAAGTCAAATTTCACCTAAAATCCCTTCACTCTGTCACAAACTATTTTAATGTCAGTGCTTTCTTTTTAATTCCTCTGGAACATTCCAGTACCTCTTCAAACTTGTTTCTGGTTTTTCACTATCCTAAGTAATTTTCTGTAAACATCTTATTTATATGTATCTATAGCCAATTGGGAAGTTAGTAATCATTGGCCATCGTCCCCATTCTGCGACTGGCAAAATTTTCCTGGTTTTGAGTTTTTGTAGCCCCTCTTCACACCCAACTTCACGCCACTTGTATTTTTAGCCCTAATCCAGGCGGGGTGCATCCTGACTTAGACGTGAGGCAGTTAAGCATTCTGGCTCAATTCTCTCTGACTTCAGTCACTGCCTTGGTACTTTATATGTGCTAAATGCCCAAATAGGCTCAGGGACTTACAAAGACAAGTGAAATAGATTCCTGTTCTCAATTATTTTCTCATCTTGAAGTCTCGAGTGCAGTTTCAGATCCATACCCATCATGCTGGACTCAGTACAACTTAATCATTAGAGGTGTATCAGAATGTTCCATCAGAGCCTAAGTAGACATGGGAAGTCCAAGAACCATGACTTTCCTCTATAAATTACCCCCCTCGCTGAGAGCATTTATTGTAATGTCCTGACTGCAGTTTTCATTTCTAATAAAGATCTGACTAAAGGAGTAAAGAGGTGGTTGACACAGGGAACCTTGAATTAGAGGATGAGAGAAAGGTGGGGAAATAGAATATACTTAACCACTGTCCTGAGGATCTGGGTCCCACCAGTTTGACAAGGGGCCATCTGAGGTTCAGGTAACCAGCAGGACCGCTTCAGCATTTGGAGGGAAATTATGGGATATGGTTAAATTTTAGAGTTTTTAAAAGAATACTACTTCCTTCCTTGGAATACTTCTTGCCAAGTATAGAATTTGGGTCTTCAACTCCCACACCCCCCTCCCACTATAACCACCCTCCACCCCCTGTCCTCAATTCTTTCCTTCCCCTTCCCCTAAATTCTCATTTCCGTAAGAGGACTTCGTTTCCTCCAGACTCCATCTTCTTATTCATAGATCCCAGAGAGTCTCCAGTTCAGAGCTGCCAGGGACCTGATTCCTTTTCAAGGTTGACCCTTAATAATCCTGAGGAAATACATACTTTCACTTTCAGCATGCATATTATGGTCATTTTTTTGGTCCCCTTGATTACTTGTATCTTGCTTGTTGCTGTCTCTCCTTAACCCCCAGTCCCTCTCAGTGTAAATTGGCTCTGCTAACAAGTATGCCTGTTTTGGAAACATGTTGTCCATTCTCTTCATTCAGCCATGAAATTTGGGTCTTGTTCCCACCATGCTTTCTGCCTTCCTTCTCTGTCTCGACCTAGTAACTGTTAATGTGCTCCTCACCCGAGCTCATGGCCATTCACATGGTCAATCGCATCTTGATATGCAAGGCTTCTCTGCCTGCCTTTCTTCCACATGTGCTTCTTTGGGTCAAAGCATACCTTCCAAGGAGGAGTGCCGCTCGAGGAGTTCCTCAAATGTTAGTGATATTTGTGGGATATTTACCTCCTTCGTGGAAGTCTCTTCTCACCTCACATCAGAGGGTTGAGTCCGTAATGCTCCTTAGTTCATGGCACTCTGTCCTTACTGGTCTGCTTGAAGCTTCTCTCTTTCATTTACTGATTTATTCTTTTATTCTCATTCCTCCCATTCTTTTCTCAAAATAGGCAATACTCTAATACGTGTGATGTGCATCCTCTTATTTATTATGTTTTTTACAAAATGCATTGTTAGGTACATTTTTTAATTCACGTAAATAGCCAATTTAGTAAAAGGCTATAGCTTACTATTTTTTTTTAAGATTTTGCTTTTAAGTAATCTCTACACCCAACATGGGGCTCAAACTCACAACCACAAGATCAAGAGTTGTATGCTCCCCTGACTGAGCCAGCCAGGTGCTGGCTCACTCACTCTTTTTTTTTTTTTTTTACGATTTTATTTATTTATTTGACAGACAGAGAGATCACAAGTAGAGAGGCAGGCAGAGAGAGCTAAACAGAGAGCCCGATGCAGGGCTCAATCCCAGGACCCCAAGATCATGACCTGAGCCTAAGGCAGAGGCTTCACCCACTGAGCCACCCAGGCGCCCCTCACTCACTCTTTTTTATCAAGTACTGTGGCTCTGAGATCTAGCTGTGGTGCTGAGATAAAGCTAGTTTGTTGCTTCTAGTTGATGCAGAATGCTGCATTGGGTGCTTCTCCCACATTTTACCTATTCGACCCACCAAGTGACAGGTAAGTCGATTGCCTCCAACTCACTACTTAAAGAAAACACTTTCAATGAACAACCTTGTACATCTCCCCTTTTGACATGTGTGAGAACATCCCTTGGATATAGGCACATCTTAGTTTCACTTAGTACTGCCAGATTGGGATCCAGGAAGACTGCACCAGCCTGTTCTGCCAGTGCCAGAATATCTGAGTCTCTATATTCCTTTATCCCCAACACCGTTTAGCATTAATTAGCTTTCTAATTTTTGCCAATATGAAGGGTAAAAGGTAATGGAATGCAATTTTAATTAAACGAACACAATGGAAATGCTGCAGATGGAGCCTTGGGTTCTCATTGACTCAGACCTCTCCTTTGTATCTCACACCTACTCAGTTGTTAAATCCCATCTGCGCATCTCCCGAACCCATTCCCTCTTTTACTTACTTTGCCATGATTTGGGGGGAAATTTTTCCCTTTCACTATTGCAGTTGCTTCCTCATTTGTTTCTTAGTGTCCAGATGTCACCCTGTCGATAGACATTCTATATCTGCTACCAAGGTAATATTCCAGAAGCACAGCCCTTTGAGGCAAGAACGAAGAGGTTATGAGTGAATGATGGTGAGGATTTTAAACCTAGAACCCTGGTTCAGGGGTTAGCAAAGATTTTCTTTCTAGCAGGGATCTCTAAACTTAATGAAAGTTCAATTAATTAAAGATATTACTCCCCCGTAAATCTCCACAGGGGCATTTCTAAAAGGTGATTATCATACCCTCATAGAAAAGAAAACTGGGACTCATTAAAGAATTTGCAATGTTTGGGGCGCCTGGATGGCTCAGAGGATTAAGCCTCTGCCTTCGCTCAAGCCATGGTCTCAGGGTCCTGATATTGAGTCCCATATCAGACTCTGCTCGGCAGGGAGCCTGCTTACCCCTCTCTACTTGCCTCTCTCCCTACTTGTGTTCTCTGTATGTCAAATAAATAAATAAAATCTTAAAAACAAAAAAGAATTTACAATGTCTTGGTTTGGAATCCACTCTTTTGAGGGGAAGAAGTAAATAAAACCTACCCATCATTAGCAGATGCCTCCTTCCTTTGGCTTTTCTAAACATTGCTTCATCGTGTTCGTGAGGATTCTTTAGTGACAAGCTCTGAGAACCAATTCCAAATTAATTAAGCCAAAAAAGAATTGGGAGGCAGAAAGGGAGGATTAATTATTATAAAAATACAAACATGTTTCAGAGAACCCAAGAGGGAAGAGTAGGCAGATGGGGGTCGGGGGGCAGTTTGCAGGATTTGAAAGCTGTCCGTGTAAATTCTGCAGGTGCGAGGCCTCTCCATTTCTCTCCAGAATCAGCCTTCTCCCGTCCTCCAACCTCAGCCCACTGTCACTGCCCCACAGATGCCGAATCTAAATGCTATAGATGCCACATCCTGCAGAGACCAAGTTAATTCTCTTTTGGCTTCAGGTTCATCTCACTTTGCCAAACACCTTGGATTTCTGTCACCCGAGAGGCCTGATAATACAGAAATGAAGTGTTGCTAGTGACAGACTTGAAATTTTCAACACCGCTGGGTGGAAGCGGGGAGCCTTCATCACTTCACTCAAGAGATGATGGATTGTGAGAAACAGTATCCAGACTCAATACAGGTTGTAGCCAGAGATCCTGGCCTCGGAGCTGGAGGCAGAAGCTGCATGTGACTAGTGATTTTGAGGCGGTCTGTGGATTATGTTCATGGGGCGTTTGGGATTGTCTGTCTGAGAAGACAGGTGTGTATGCTGAGCAGCTACAGGGTTGGCTGGGTGAACATGATCATTTCTGTTTCACCAACATTCCTCACTTGAGAAGACCTTATATTTACAGGCCAGGCCTTGAGGTGCATACACCACTTCTGCCCCAGTTCTGCCGCTTGAACTCAGGCCTGGGACCACGCCCACCCGGGTGGGAGGCCGGACAGTGGACTCCAGTTGTGTTCCCAGGAAGAAGAGGAAAGAAGCTGGTGAGTTTCTGACCACTCTGTTCCCCCAAGATCCTCCACTTCTGCAAAATGGTTTCAAAGCGCTTTAAGTTCCAAAAAGTCTGCTCCGCTCTTCTCAATACTCTGCATCTTTTCTGCACTTCTGCGTGGCGGTCTCCCAGCAGAGTGTAAGCGGAGTCTGGACATATTACGTGCATGAGTTAGTTCTACATGGCAGGGAGTAGTGCTTTGTTGCTGAAGAAAGAGGAAAAGGAAGGTGCCTGGGGGAGAGAAAAAAGAAAAATAGAGAAAAAAAACTCCACATGGTGTTTATTCCCTAACTGGAGTAAGGAATCTGTCCTTTCAACGTATTAAAGAATTAGACATCTAGCCTCAGAAATTGAGAAGCTTTCCTAAGCGTGAGGTTCAAATACCTACTTTATCTCAGTCTCAATGTGATGGGGGGAGGAAGAAATGAAGATTTCAGAAGAAATATCATTCTGCTCACAGTTCAGGGCATCCAGTCTAACCTCAAGGGAGACTCGGGGACCTGTTCGTGTGTCCCCATCAGCCGACTGAAGCTGACATCTGTAGGCTATTTACCTGTGAGTCAAAAACTGTAAAAATGTGATGGGGAGAGGTAAAGGTGAGGAGTTGAGAATTTATAATTGAACCGACGTTAACTAGAACTTGATTTTAAAAAGAAAATAATATGAATATGTACATTTCGACCATGACCTTGATCCCTCAACCCATTATTTTTGTTTCCTTGTGTTTCTTTTTGATATCTATTCCCTTATGTAAATGCATTCACATATTTTTTTTTGTAAATTCATCAATTTAAAACCCTACGTCATAGCTGCTGTTACAGTCGAAGGAAGGCTAAAGAAACACAACTAAACATGATGTATTGTGGATGGGATTTGGGAACAGAAGGAAGACATCAGGCAAAAGCCTAAGGAAATCTAAATAAAGCATGGACTTTGGTTAATGGTTAGGTATCCATATCGATTCACTAATTGTAACAAATAGACCACACTGCTGTAAGATCGCAATCATATGGGAAACTGGGTGTGGGGTATGTGGGAACTCCTTATACTATCTTCTCGATTCTTCTGAAACTCTAAAACTGTTCTAAAATACAGAGCCTATTTTTAAAAAGACAACATTATTATTCTATCCAGTAACTGTGTTCTTTTAGTGTCAGACATTCATTCTGTCTCTGGTTTTCCACTGTTAAAAATAATGTTCTCTAAACATCCTGTACCTTTTAAATGAATTCAGAACCAGAATCCGCTTCAGCTGGAACTGAAAAGTAGTTAAACGCTAATGATTGCTCCTTCCCCTTTTCCAAACATTCAACTACAAGTTTCCCTTAATCTTCAGCCTCTTCAGTGCCTGTCTCCCCACAGCTTACTGTAGCTAATGCTACCTACGTAATGAGTGCCGTTCTGGTCTCTAGAATGGATCCTGACCCAATCAAAAGGTACTTAAACAGTTCTGGCCCAATACTCATTGACCCAGCAAACGTCTATCAAGCACCCACAATGTGACAGATAATGTGGTAGATAGGCAGCACTCTCTGTGGCAAATATCCACTTTGCGAGGGTAAGAATATTTTATAAGGTTATGTTTGTGGTCATCCAAACTTGAGGGTTTGCATTTTAAAAGATGAAGCCAGTTTTGTCTTATATGTGACAGTCTTATCTTCAGATAGTTTTCCTCTTCCTTAACCTAGAGGCAATGTCCAGAATATAAATAACAAGGACATCTTGGCTCAGAATGTATCAGGAATCCAGAGCTATTTTGTATTGGTCCAACATGATACAGTCAGAAGTATGTAACAGTTTATTAAACTTAAGTCCCTATGTGAAATTAAATCATGGAGGTAAATGAGTATTAGATCATAACTAAATCTTAAGAAAAATAAAGGTAATTAATGACACATGCACCTTTTCTGCTGGGAAATCTTTGGGGGAAAAAAGCCCAGTGAGAGGCAGATTCAGCTGGACTGTTGAGGAGTGGTGGGAGTGGAACGGAAGGGTAGCCATGGAATGGTACAGAGAGGGTCCCATAAGATATCAGACCCCCGTCACGTTCTCGGGCCGGTGTGATTGATGATGCATCCATCCCATCAGGAAGATCCTTTCATCTCATTCCCTATGGTTTTCCCTACAACAGGGAAGACAGAGACCCACAGAGCTGAGCCATGCCCAGAGTAGCCATTACACCTTGTCCACAGGGAGCCTTCTCTGTCTTGAAGGGGAGCATGTCTGCGGTTTCCTTCCAAGGAGACAGGCAGTACTGAATGTTGGATTCCTTTTTTTGTTGTTGTTGTTGTTTGGTTTTTTGCTTTTAGTGCTCATACCCAATCATCTATTAACTTCTGGTTCAAGAGGGAAAACAAAAGTTTGTCTTTTCCCACCTGAAAACCCATTATATGACTGAAGAAAGATATAAAGGCACAGCAAAGCTAAAACAAGAGGGGGGGATATCAGTGTAACAGAAATGTCAACGCATTTCTAAGAGAAAGGAAGCGGACGGAGCCGTAGTTCCTAGTGATGCAAGGTCCAAGGAAACGGCAGCCTGCACCTTGTTAGAGAGGTGGGAGGCAGAGTTGGGTATAATCAGGCCCCAGGAGAACCAGGAGACCTGGAAACACCAGGAATGGCCACAGAAAGAAAGAAGACTTGGCCGTGAAAGCTGGGAAATATAATTGAAGTTCTAGAGATAGAACATTGTACCCTTCTTACACCCTCTCCCACCCTATCCTCACCCAGAAACCCCAGCAGGAAGGCATCAGTCTCTCAAGCAGCTGTTGAGAATGTGTATTTCCAATTCTGCCCTCTGGCCAGCCGATGAGTGGATCAGCCTGGAGCCAAGCTCTCCAGTAAAGAAGCCCAGCACATATTCAGAGTCCCAGTCAGGTCTTTGTGGCTCTTTCCTAAAAATAAATTAGTATCAGGGTGCCCAGGTGGCTCAGTTGGTTAAGTTCAGGTCATGATCCCCAGGTCCTGGGATCGACTGTCATATCGGGCTCCATGCTTGGTGGGAAGCCGGCTTGTCCCTCTGCTCCTCCCCCTGCTTGTGCTCTCTCTCTCTCTCTGTCAGATAAATAAATAATATGTTAAAAAAATAAATTAGGGGACGCCTGGGTGGCTCAGTGGGTTAAGCCTCTGCCTTCGGCTCGGGTCATGATCTCAGGGTCCTGGGATCGAGCCCCATATCGGGTTCTCTGCTCAGTGGGGAGCCTGCTTCCCTCCCTCTCTCTCTGCCTGCCTCTCTGCCTACTTGTGATCTCTGTCAAATAAATAAATAAAATCTTAAAAAAAAATAAATTAGTATTACCAGATATTTGAAAGCTTACAAGGTGAAAGAGAGTAACCAAAACAAAACAAGCAGCAGCAGTTATGAAACCAGGAAGCAAGAATGAGCTTGGGAATTATATAGTTGATAAGCAAGTCAACGAAGAATTGTAAGATAAAGACAGAAATATGAGAAAAAAGACTTACAACACTAAAGTAATAGAAAGTCCAAATGGATAAAAGAGGGTGGACAAGCATGAAAGAGCTAAGAGGAGAATTGACCTGAGCTGAAGGACACAAGTCACCAGATGAAAAGGATCCACCAAAGTCCAAGCACATGAGTGAAAAAAAGACTCACATTTTGATAAATCACTGTGAAATTTTAAAACTCCATGAATAAAGGGAAGATTCTAAAAGATTTCAAAGATGGATGAAAATTAGAGGTGACTTCCAAATTAGAATTGAAAATTAAGCTCACATGGGCCTGCTCACCTGTAATCCTAGGTACTCGAAGACAACAGAATAGTGCCTTTAGAGTTCTGATGGAAAATATTTTTGGTCTTTTAATTTTATATCCTGACAAATTTTCTGTCAAGTGTAAGGATAGACTAGGAACATTTTCAGACAAATAAGAAAAAAGGACCTTTTATCTCCCAACATATTCCCAGTGAGAAAGTTCCTGAGGATAAACTCAAATAAGACCAGGCAGTAAGCCCACAAAGAGGCAGACTTGCAACTCAAGCCAGGAGGGTCATGAAAGGAGCCCAAGGGTGGGAGCCCTGTAGCCGTGACAGGCTGGAGCGGGAGCACGGGGGATCCAGGAAGCTGAAGCTACAGAAAATACGGATTCAAGAGATTTGCTGTGCTTGAAAATCTGGAGACACTCAAGGAGGTGATGAAAACCATGTTTATTTCTAGAAAACTATTTTCTTCCCTCTCTTAAAAAAAAATTGCTTCAAAATCCTTCTTCCCTGGTAAAACTATCCTATAATTCTCTCCTCAGGGTCCTTCTTCAGAGGTTCTCAGGAGCTGGCTGTTCCGGCAAAGCTTACTCATAATTTGGGGTTGGGTGGCCTGAAACTCCCTCCCAGACTTCTGTTTATAAGAGTTTATATTCGTGAGGGGAAGGGTGATAGGCTTTGGGGCTGAGGAAAGCTGTTGCCTGGAGGAGAGGAAGGAAAACTACAAATCAATACAGAATTACATGATATTTATCTCCTAACTAGCTCAGGGTCCTTCTCCAATCAGCCATTTGGTCTGGGTAGGGCTCTGCCTTCAAATCTAAGAAGGGACCATATAAGCCAGGCTAAACCCAAATAATATTAAGCACTCACTAGTGACAATATTGGTTAAAAGGCAGTACATAGGGGCACCTGGGTGGCTCAGTCGGTTAGGCATCTGCCTTCTGCTCAAGTCATGATCCCAGAGTCCTGGGATAGAGTCCCACATTGGGCTCCCTACTCAGCGGGCAGTCTGCTTTTCCCTCTGCCCCTCACTCTACTCTCCTGCTTTCTCTCTCTCTCTCTCTCTAAAATAAATAAGTTCTTAAAAAAAAAAAAAAAAGCAGCACATTCCCTAAGATGTCCAGTCACAGGGAAACTTAGGATGGTAGCTAGAAATGTTGAGACAAAGGTTTTCACTTTCCTGCTGGTTGTCAATCTGGACTGATGTAGTCTTCGAAGTTGCTGGCTGCCGTATGAAAATCACAGGACAGAGAGAGCCTCTCTGAGGAAACTGACACACAGTGGGAAGCAGAGCCAAAAGATGGAGAGGACTTATGACCTGATGATATTTTATGAGTTCCTGCTTCAGGCCACACCCATAGCCAACCCCATTCTGGGACTTTTAAGTGAGTCCATAAACTCACTTTTTACATAATGAATCTCGGTCAAGTTTCTTTCTGCATAAAACAGAAATATTCTTACCTGATATAGACTTTATACATTTGCTTATTGATTTTCAACTTTTTGAACAGAATGCTTTATGGCAACAGGAGAGAATATAAATACTTTTTAAAAAGATTTTATGTATTTATTTGTCAGAGACAGAGAGAGAGACAGAGAGAGAGAGAGAGAGCAGAAGCAGGGGGGGCAGAGGCAGAGGGAGAAGCAGGCTCCCCGCTGAGCAAGTCCTCAATGCGGGACTTGATCCCAGGACCCTGGATCATGGCCTGTGCCAAAGGCAGATGATTAACCAGCTGAGCCACCCAGGCATTCCAAGAATATAAATACTTTTAAAAATACAAAAATGAAAGTACAGATGATAGAAACAGATGGAAGGTAGAAGCAAAGGTAAATGAGGAACATAGACATTATTTCTATAAGAGTTGGGGTCAAGAGATATGGTCTATAGATGATGAAACAAGACATAAAGATATAAGTTAGCATTTGAAGTTACAAATGCCATAAATACAGGAACCAAAAATGATGCTATAAGCACCTTGGGAGGATTGGAAAGGTTTGTAATAGATATGTATTCTAGGATCTATGAGGAAATGGAGATCAGTTCTAAAACTACCAATGACCAAAAACACCAAAGAAAAAGCAAAGTATACAGGGGAAGAAAATAGATTTAAATTGTAAGACTCAGAAGGCATAAACTAGAGAAGTTGAAGTGGAGCCTTGGGAAGCCTTGGGAAACCTTGGGTCTGTGTCTCCATGCACCTTTGTGAAGTGTGTGTTCCTCTCT